AAAGAGAGAGTAAGAGAGAAAGGGAGAGAGAGAGAGAGAGAGAGAGAGAGAGAATTTTTTCTAATATTTATTTTTTAGTTTTCGGCGGGCATAACATCTTTCTTTGTATGTGGTGCTGAGAATCAAACCCAGGCCGCATGCAGACCAGGCGAGCGTGCTACTGCTTGAGCCACATCCCCAGCCCAAACTTTTTTTTTTTTTTTAAGAAAAACTTTTGTTCTGGACAATTTTCTTGATTCTTCTATTCCTATTAAATTATTGATTTCAGCTATTTATATATTTGGGAACTGCTTGTACTTAATAGTCACCTGCACTTAATAGCTATCATCTTTAATCTTAGAATACTCATTAGGTTTTTATTTATTCATTCATTCATTCATTCATTCATTCGTTTGTTAGTACATACTGGGGATTGAACCCAGGGATGCTTAACCACTGAGCCACATCCCCAGTCCTTTTTTCATATTTTATTTAGAGACAGAATTTCACTGAATTGCTTAGAGCTTCACTAAGTTGCTGAGGCTGATTTTGAACTCATGATTCTCCTGCCTCAGGCTCCTGAGACCCTGGGATTATAGATGTGGGCCATCAAGCCCAGCTCCAAAATTTTGGAGATTTTTCTCCACTTTGAGTGACTTTCAATTTGTTTGTTGTGGTGCTTTTTTTGGAGATGCTAGTTTTCTTCAGGTGTCTGATGATAGCTGTTTGCCTGCATAATTATGAGAGAAGGAGAGGGTTTACTGGTAGTGTCCTCTATTTTTATAGTTTTCTTCTTTAAGTTAGATTGACTAAATTAGGATTTGTGATGGTAATATCAATACTCTTGAAAACATTAGGTGGACTGCTAGGGGAAATGAAATTTAACATTTTTTCTCTGTCTACTATTCTTAATTTATTCCTTTAGATATTTTTCAGTATTATTTTGTGTTTTAGTTAAATAAATTTCATGGTATAGCCTCTTGTTGTTTGGTTCTATTTTTGGTTTGAAACATTTCTTCCTAAAAAGCTTAATAATATTTACTGTCTATGTTCCCTAGGCAGATTATTATCACCTGCATTTTTGTGAACTTCTTTGAAAATAGATATATCTGCCTCAAGGTGTGGTTGTAAGCACTACAAGATAATTTGTGTACAGAAGTGTTTTAAAATTATTTATTTTAT